TGAAATAAGGCAAGTGAACTTAGAAACCTTGTAAAACTTGAAGAGTATTGTATTTCCCTTCATTTTGTGTGTTGTGGAGTAATGAGAATGAGGTGATGAGTTGAATTACTCTAGTAGGCTGATCTTAATGAATAAAAAGGGGGAATAAATGAAAAAGACAATGTGTTGATAGTTGTATTTTGTGAATTTCCTTGATGATGATCCTAATTTGTTGATTGATGAAATGCTTTGATGACATTTTGGTGGACATGAATTACTTGAGTTTACTGTCTCTTACTTATGGTGTGAAATTATCTATTTGCATTAATTTCTATGCACCGTGATGAGACATGTAGTAATTATAACAATGGAAAATTGTTCATGTATGTGATATTATATAACGTCGATGGAAAATGGTTTCGACTGGTGATATAGTGCCGATGGGACATTGCTCCGATAAGTGACATTTAAAGCCGATGAGAAATAGTTCCGGCTAGTAATATTGTGTCAAAGGGAAATTGTTCCGGTAAGTGACATTATATAAATCCAAACGGAATAGTCATTTTCATAAACATAACATCATACATGGAAAACCACAATTAAATTCCTAATATAAGCTTAAATCATTAGAGATTCTCCTTAAATCATGAATCATGCATGTGTGAGAAAATGTTTCACCAATCAGGATTCCTTAATATATGAGAAAATCTTTCACAATTTCGTTTATGCTTTTCTTGAAACCAACCTATATATAATCAAATATCTTTTTGTAAATCATGCATAAAGTTTCATACATCATGATTCATAACTTCATAGCCTTTTTCATAAATACATATCTTCATAAACTCATGAATAATGCATGGGTCTTATAGAAATCAATTGGAAATAATGTAGTTTAATCAACACATGCATGTGAAGATTGAAATTGAACAGTTAAATCAACACCAAGTAAGACATATGGAGATCACCTGAAACTTAAGCAATTTAGGTGAAATTTAATTTGAAGAATTGAGATCTTTCGGGACTGAATGGGTAAATGGAACCCATTGATGAATTCCCACATATCTTTATAAACAAAGCCCAAAATTGATAGATAAAAAAGAGAGTTGAAGCTTCAAACCCTAGCTTTAATCTTGAACTTGATAGAGAATTGGAGAAGATGAATGTGGATGGGATTTGGGGGTTTGAGAGAATGCGAGAGTTGGGGTGGATTTAGAAATAGAAAGGTAGTTATAGGACTTAGAATTAAGGTCAAAACGACATATTAAATGCACTGGGAAAGATCTAAATACCCTTAAGAAATAACTGTTGAACAGTTTCTACGGCCAATACTGGTCAACCGCAGAACAAGCTTCAGAAACCCAAATTTCATTCTACTTCCCACGAGACCTTTCTACAGCCCATCGTCTAGTATAGTGTCTGTGTACCCTATCCGTGGATCACAAGTCCAAGTCCAAAATTTCCCAAACTCTAGATCACTTCTCTATAACCATCCTACAGCCCGTCAAACTTCCTACGGTTCATCATCGCTACTCATAGGTCAAATTTTAGAAACTTAAATTTACAAGAACTCATCTCCAAGTCTAGGAATTTCTTCCTACTGTACATAGGACTTCCTATGACCCATTAATAGGACTCAAAGACCACTACTTCAATAAAAACTTCTGCAACTTTCTTTCCAACTAGACTTTACAATTTCTGAGATGTTATAATATCTCCCCCTGGAACATTTGTCCTCGAATTGGTCTCAAGCTAGCTTGAATAGAGTAGGAGAATCAATGAGATATCCTATATATCCAAATAATAATTCTTGAATTCACATTTCAAATTAGAGATAAGACTTAAGAGTAAAGTTCGAGAGAGTTCTTTGAGCCATTTTGAGAAGTCTTTCGCAAACTTCTAAAAAAAAAATCAGACTTGAGCACTTGAGTGTGAGAATGAGGAGAGTTGAGTTTCATTTTTCAAAATGAATATATGGGGACTAAGTATTCCAAAGATAAAATGTTTTACATTTAAAATGATGAGGAAACCTTGATTTCCAAATGAGTTCATGAGGAGTTTTGAGCACTATCTCTTTTAAGATAACTTTTGAGTAATAATCTCAGGAAATGTTTTTAAACATATGAGGATGAGTTATATTATTGGGAGTAGTATTGACCATCGATATGGGGATGAGTTTCGAAAACTGAAAGTCCTCATAAACCATGTATGCCAAAATGGGTAAAGGGTCATACTTTTTAGATGATTACTTATTCCTTTTTAAGCATAGCTTAGTGGATCCACTTAGTTGAGGATGTCTTATACTCCGGCAAGGTATATGACAGTTCTGGAAGCATGGGCGAGACGTTATATCATCACATATCTCATAGTGATGGTTGTCGGTTAGAGAATCTCCCAAATAAGAGTAAAAGAGTTATTATTGTATTTTTAAATACATTCAGTTATTATCTACTATTTTTAAATCTTTATTTATAATGCATCATCATTTTTGCTTTTATATTGAACTGAGTTGAGTATTTCTGAGTTTTGAGTATCCTCGAGTTGAGTTGAGTTGAGTTGAGTCGAGATGAGGTGAGTATGTTTTTCCTTTTTATCAAGTTGAAGCCTATGTATGTTCTTTAGAGTTTCCCTTGCATGCTCGTACATTCCATGTACTGATGACATTTGTCCTACATCTTTCATGATGCAAATATAGGTAACCAGGGTCATCAGTAAGCGCTCCTTTGATACCACTTGCAGTCCCAGAGTTACTTTTTTTAGCCTCCTTTATTTCGGAGGATTCCCACACTTACTTGCAGTCGTATTAGGATGTCATGGGTCTTGTCCCGACTTCCATCATAGTTATTATAGGCTTCATAGATAGATAGTAGTGTTTTGAGGAGTCTTTTCATTTCCATTGTTAAATGTTTAAGACTTCAGTTTCCTCTTTTGGACAGTTGAGTGTTTTCTTTAAAATATTCTGAATTATCTATTTTGAGACACTGGTTTAAATCTTTACTTTTGAGATTCATTTATTGTTGAGTAAGTCTTCTGCTGAAAGTTGAGCCAGGACAAAGGTTCACTTGGGGCCAAAAATGGTTCACAAGTGTCGGTCACGTCCATGGTGTACCCTCATTGCGTGAAAAACATAGTATCAGAGCAGAAAGTTCAAGTGTCCTAGGTTATCTATGAAGTCGTGTCTGTAAATTCCTAGTTATCGGTGTAAAACGCGCCACATCTATAATTTGGAGGCTACGACATTTAGGAAATATCCCACTTCTTTCATTCTCTTTTTGTGTGATAGAGTTCAACTCTATAAAAGTTTCCTTCTAATTCATGCTTGCGCGTATCTTTCAGATCATTCCTCCATGAAGAGCTTTTCGAGGTCATCCTTCTAGGAGAAATGTTGATCCCCAGGATGAAGTGGTACCCAATGCACCAGAAGTGCAACCCCAAGGAGAGGTCACTAGTGCTGAGTTCCGGGATTCTATCTGGATGTTGAGTCAAGTTGGGACTAACCAAGATAGGATACAAAGAGCGGTTCGACAGGATACAGCCAGATCTGTGAGTTCTTAAGGATGAATCCTCCAGACTTCACCGGTGCAAGTGTCACTGAGGATCCGGTGAACTTTATGAAGGAGTTGCAGAAAATGTCTGAGCTTATGCATGTTGCATATGTTGAGCATGTGGAACTAGCTGCATTCAAACTGAAGGGTGTTGTTAGAGTCAGGTACGACCAATGGAAGAAGAGTAGAGATGAAGGGGCACCAATTGTGAGTTGGGTTGTGTTCGAAGATGCCGTCATGGGGCGTTTCTTTCCCTATGAACTGAGAGAGGCAAAGGGTAAGAGAATTTCTTATTCTTAAGTAAGAATTCAGGAGTATTCATGAGTACAGCCTCCAGTTCACTCCCCTTATGCTCCGGAGATGGTTGTTGATATGAGGAGTAGGATGAGTCTGTTTGTGTCTAGGTTGTCTGGTCTGTCAAGGAAAGAGGGTAAGACTGATATGTTTATAAGGGACATGGACATAGAAAGGCTTATGATCCATGTGCATCAGGTTGAAGAGGACAAGTTGAGAGATAGGGAAGAGTTCCACAGCAAGAAGGCTAAGACAACAGGTAATGAGTCCAGGCAGCAGAAAAGTAATACGAATCGATCATTTTTTCAACAAAAGCCAATTGGACCTGCTCCATCATTCCATAGTGCACCAGTACCAAGGAATATAGGTGAGTTCAATAATCAGAATTCGCAGAACTTTAGAGCTAGCCCTGCTCAGTCTAAAGGTAGTGTGGCACAAGGAGTCAACTGGACTCCAGCATGTGCTAAGTGTGGTAGGACCACCCTGAAGTGTGTCATGATGGCTCCAGTGGTTGCTTCAAGTGTGGTCAAACATGTTACTTCATGAGATAGTGCCCTAAGAACAGGCAGTGTAGTGTAATGGGGGCAATAGAGCCCAATCTTCAGTGGCTCCGCCCGACAGAGTTACACCTAGAGGAGATACTTTAGGGACAGATGGAGGAGCAAACCGTCTGTATGTTATCACTAGTCGCCAAGAGCAAGAGAATTCACCTGATGTTGTCACTGGTATGATCAAAGTATTTACTTTTGATGTATATGCATTGCTTGATCCAGGTGCAATTCTATCTTTTGTGACTCCATATATTGCTATGAATTTTGAATATGAATGGGGTTGAATTATCACTAGTGTGCGAAGTGAAAGAGAAACAAGACCAAGACCCTGTTTTGCTTGAATTGAAGGCAAATGTTCACAAGCATAAAGTGATGGCTTTTGAAAAAAAGGGGAGATGGTGTTTTGAGGTATCAAGGTAGGTTGTGTGTACCAAGGTTAGATGAACTCCAAGAGAGGATCATGGAGGAAGCTCATAGTTCCAGATACTCTATTCATCCTGGTTCCACAAAGATGTATCGTGACTTGAGAGAAGTCTATTGGTGGAGTAGTATGAAGAGATGTATTGCAGAGTTCGTTGCTAACTGCCCGAATTGCCAACAAGATAAGGTAGACCACCACAGGCCCAGTGGTATGGATCAGAACATAGATCTTTCGGAATGGAAGTGGGAGATGATCAATATGGATTTTATCACTGGTTTGCCACAGTCTCGCAGACAGCACGATATGATTTCGGTGATTGTAGATCAAATGACTAAATCATCTCATTTCTTACTGGTAAAGACTAACTATTCAGCAAAGGATTATGCCATATTATATATTCAAGAGGTATTAAGACTTCATGGAGTTCCGGTATCCATTATTTCATATAGAGGTGCGCAATTCACCACACAATTTTGGAAGTCTTTCCAAAAAGGTTTGTGTTAGAAGGTAAATTTGAGTACTATTTTCCATCCTCAGACCGATAGTCAAGAAGAGTGTATGATTCAGATTTTAGACGATATGTTGAGGGCGGCGCGTGTGATCGATTTCAAGGGTAATTGGGATGATCACTTAACTCTCATTGAGTTTCTTACAACAACAATTATCACTCTAGCATCCAGATGTCTCCCTATGAGACTCTATATGGGAGAAGATGTAGATCTCCAATTGGATGGTTTGAGGTTAGTGAATCTGGGTTGATAGGTCCAGACTTAGTTCATCAATCTATAAAGAAAGTGAATATCATTCAAGAGAAGTTGAAAATAGCGCAAAGTCGTCAGAAATCCTATACTGATGTTAACAGAAGAGACTTGAAGTTTTGAGGTGGACGATTGGGTTATTTGAAGGTTCCACCCATGAAAGGTGTTTTGAGGTTTGGCAATAAGGGGAAGCTTAGTCCCCGGTATAGTGTTCCTTACACGATATCAAAGAGAATTTGCAATGTAGCTTATGAGTTAGAGCTACCGCTAGAGTTAGCATCGGTCCATTCGATATTTAACATTTCAATGTTGAAGAAGTGTATGAGAGATCCATCTGTTGCTATACCTTCTAAGAATATTGGTATTAAGGACAGCCTATCTTATGGGGAGATACCTGTTGAGATACTTGATTGTCAGGTTCGCAAGTTGAGAACCAAAAAGGTCTCATCAATCAAGTTCTTATGGAAGAATCAGTTTGTTGAGGAAGCTACTTGGCAGGCTTAGGAGGATATAAAGAAGAGATACCCGGATGTCTTTTCTTCCAGAAAAATTACAGACCAAGGTAATGACGTTTTGTAAAACATTCTTTAAATTGATATTCTATGTTGTGTTAAATTTCATGTTGAGTAATTGAGTTGGGTGAAAGATGTTGCCACCCTTAGTTCTATTTAGAGTAATCTCATTCGAGGACGAATGTTCCCAAGGGGTAGATACTGTAACACCTCTATCTTAAAAAAAACTAATTTTAGTAAGAACCAATTTGGAAAGAGCTAAATCAAGAATTTTGCAAGTTAGTCTTAAATTGTGAGTTTTGGTTCAACTTCAAACGACTATAACTTTTAGTACAAGATGAGTTAGGTGGCCCATGAGATATCAAATGAAAGATCTTTGAGTCCTCTTTCTAACCCCACCGAGTTTGATAATTCTGAGTTTGAATAAGGGAGATATGCCCATTTGAGTTCAGCCTCTCTGATTTAGGAAATTTGTTTGAATTAAAGAGGGGTATGTTGATCTTTTCCTTACCCCACTAAGTTTACACGTTTTGGTTACCCCAAATAGTGGTCTAAACTGATTTGGGTCAGTTTTTACGATTCATAAACACACTTAGGGTTTTAGAGAGAAGTTCAAGAGGAGAAACAAAGGAGAAGTTCATGCATTCGTTCAAGGTTCTTGTGATCTTCAAGAAATTTCACCAAGGATTTTATCCTTAAGAGGTATGTAAGCTTTCAAGTTATGGGTTTGTTCACCCTCATGTCAATCATGAGTTTCTTGAGTTAATTTCATCCATGACAATCTATGTATTAAGGTTCTTGATGAGTTTCTTGAAGTTTCATTCTTAAATCATTAATAATGGGATTTGATGAGTTCTTGAGGTGAATTTTATGAGTTTGAGTATATTTTCATTTATTTATATTGAGTATACGAATCTAAAAGAGTTTGGGAGAAATCAATCGATTCTAAGCAAATTAGAATCAAAAATTGAAGAGGAAAATTTTTCAGGTTTTCTAGGTAGGGCTTGGGACGACAGGCCACCAATGCGCCAGGTGGGCTGGCGCCCCTCACCACTCAGTACGCCAGGGTCGCCTGGCTCCATCCATTTTTCTATTGTTCATTCCGTTCGAGTTCTTGTAAAACATATCTTTGCTCTCTTCTTGATTTTAACTATCAAAACTACATCTAATCAATGAGAAATCCTATATATCCAAATCATAATTCTTGAATTCATATTTCAAATTCAAGATAAGAGTTACGAGTAAAGTTCGAGAGGGTTCTTTGAGTCATTTTGAGAAGTCTTTTGCAAACATTTAAAAATTGTTTTAAGACTTGAGCACTTGAGTATGATGATATGGAGAGTTGAGTTTCATTTTTCAAAATGAATATATAGGGACTAAGTATTTCCAAGAGAAAACGTTTTACATTTAAAATGAGGAGGAAACCTTGATTTCCAAATGAGTTCATGAGGAGTTTTGAGCACTCTCTTTTAAGAGAACTTTTTGAGTAATAATCTCAAAGTTTGAGGATGAGGAAATGTTTTTAAACATATGAGCATGAGTTATATTATTGGAAGCAGTATTGAGAACTGATTGGGGATGAGTTCAGACAACTCAAAGTCCTTATAAACACTTGTATGCCAACATGGGTAAAGGGTCATACTTTTTAGATGATTATTTATTACTTTTTAAGCATAGCTTAGTGGATCCACTTAGTTGAGGATGTCTTATACTCCAGAAAGGTATAGGACAATTCTGGAGCGTGGGTGAGAAAATGTATCATCACATAGCTCATAGTGATGGTTGTCGGTTAGAAAATCTCCCAAATAAGAGTAAAAGAGTTATTATTGTATTTTTAAATACAGTGAGTTATTATCTACTGTTTTTAAAGTTTTCTTTATAATGCATCTTTATTGTTGCTTTTATCTTGAACTGAGTTGAGTATTTCTGAGTTTTGAGTATCCTCGAGTTCAGTTGAGTTGAGTCGAGATGAAGTGAGTATGTTCTTCTTTTTTATAAGTTCAAGCTTATATCTTTTCTTTAGACTTCCCATTGCATGCTCGTACATTCCATGTACTGACACCATTTGGCATGCATCTTTCATGATGCAGATACAGGTAACTAGGGCCATCAACATGGGCTCTGTTGATACCACTTTCTGTCCCAGAGTTGCTTTGGTGAGCCTCCTTGCTTCCGGAGGATTCCCACATTTACTTTTATTCGTAATAGGATGTCTTGAGTCTTGTCCCGACTTCCATCATACTTATTAGAGGCTTCACAGATAGACAATAGTGTTTTGAGGAGTCTTTTCATTTCCATTGTTAAATGTTTAAGACTTGAGTTGCTTCTTTTGTCCAGTTGAATGTTTTCTTTACAATAATCTGAATTATTTATTTTGAGACATTGAGTTAAATCATTACTTTTGAAGTTCATTAATTGTTGAGTAAGTCATCCACTGAACGTTGAGCCAGGCCAAGGGTTTGCTTGGGGTCAGAATTGGTTCTCGAGTGTCGGCCACGTCTAGGGTGTAGGCTCCGAGCATGACAGAATCTAATCATCCTCCACCTCATCACCCTCTCTTATTACCTTATCGGCAAATGGAGGTGTCGATGCTCTATCCCTAGCTGGCCCCGCTTCTTGACCTCTACCATTAGTGGACTTTCTCCCGAAACCTCTACCACGACCTCTCATCACTACTCCTATCGAATTACAACCCCAATGGTTGGCTCAGGTGCATCCGCTCATGTTAATATTGGTATTGCCACAACTATTGCTCTAGTTTTGACCATATGTGAAATAGAGTGAAGAACGTCAGATACCAATTAGTATCACCTAGATACCAATTGGATTCAAGTAATAGCACGAAAGAAATAATGATATGAGTTCTTCGAAAGTCCTATAGCCTTTCGAAGAAAAGTAATAGCATCCTTGTACCATTCCACAAGACTCTACTAAACATGTCCTTGTGTGATGAGATCACCAAACCTAAAGATCTGATACTAAGTTTGTCACGACCTAAACCAAGTCATGAGTGGCCCCCACACTTAACCTTCTAGGTGGGAAAACCAACTAATCTAAACCCCAACTTAAATTGGTTATTCAACTTACGAAATACGACAATAATGCGGAAACTTAAATCTTGCTGAAGTGAGAAATAAGAATCTACTAAAGTCAATTACATATCGTTTCTCAAAACCTAAACGTCATCACACTTAGGATATCTAATCCCCAAATACTAAGTGTGAGACTATCAAGAAACTATAATAGATAAATAAAATACCTTTTGTCTGAAATATAAGGATATTATGCCATGACCGAGAGAATCTAACACGAGCCAGAAGGAATCACTCACCCTGAAATTTGATGTGTTGGAGACTAGCTAGAGTTGTGGGCGAGTCAAAGTGACTGGTACACTTGTTGCACTCCATAAAAGGAAAAATGAATAAATATACAAGTTGGTGTAAGTACATGGCAACATGTATGAGTATATATCATCGGCCGACTCAAAATAGAAACTAATATGCATAAAGTGATAACATAAAATCAACTATAGCACTTAGTAGGTGGCAAGAAACAAATAGCATGAATAAGTGACAATAGTGATGAAGCAAGTACGTAAATAATCAACAATATCAAGAACATACATGATGACTTAGGCCTCCACACTACGCTCTTTTCAGAAATGGGTTCTTTGAGATTGAGTATATTAAGTTATTTTAATATGTTTTCTTTTAATGTTACTATGTTAGAATGTAACACTAGGTCCAATAATTTCGTGTTGGTTTGTGGCATCCGATTCAGTTATATCGTGTCAGCTTGTGGCACCCAATCCAACAATATAGTTAATTCATCATTCATTTCATCACTTTCCACTAATTAACGATATTTCATTAAGCCTTCTTTATTCAAGGCATCACTTTGATAGAGCAAGTTCAAGATTATGGATTTCACAGTCTTGGGATTTCAGACTAATCACAATAACACATGAATTATCCAAAGCATTATAATTAAGTGCATAGAAATTTTCATTGAATTACTCAATGGCTATCCATCACTATTAAGAGTCTCTCTATCACAATAAATCATAACCTACCTCAACCGAAGAACTGAAGTCAAGACAATTAGTTCACCAATTCTTTTTTTATTTCTTTAATGCCTCAAAACATTCCCAATCTATCAAGCATGCATAATTCATAAGTAAACAGGTCCATAGACATCCATGTCACTATACTTTTAGCTTAGATCCCAAAAATCATATACACGGATTTGTAATCAAATTTTTAATCTTAAGGTCAATTTATATGCTTGTGAAGAGATGTTCAAACTAAATGTTGAAATGAATAAAGTTTCTACTTTTGTTTATAATCTCTCTTCTACTAATTTTTGGCGTGCTCATTTCTGTCATATTAATAGTCGTTATGTTGAAACATGAGTAGTTTAGGATTAATCCTAGTGATTAATCTCCACGACCCGAACCTACACCCTAGATGTGACCGGCACTCAAGAACCATTACTGGTCCCCAAGAGAACCCTCATCCAGGATGGCAACAAGCGGAAGACTAACTCAAGCATACATAAGCTTAAAACTGAATTGAATTCATTGAACTCCAATAGTGAACTTTGAGAAAGTTTGAACAACACTCAAAAGAAAGTAAATACACAAAACTCTTCAACTCTGTCTATCTATGAAGACTCTGCTATTACAGAAAGATATCAGGAATAGACCCGCAATATCTCAAAACTACTAACTGTAAGTTAAACGTAAGGTCCTCCAAAATATAAGAGGGATCACCACAGCTCACTGTGATATCACATGACCTCAACGAAATGCATGTTGATGATCCTGAATACCTGTATCTGCATCATGAAATGATGCAGGCCAAATAGCTTAGTACGTGGAATGTACAAGCATGTAAGGGGAATTCTAAAGCATAAAAATAAGCTTGAACTTGATAAAAAGGAAATATACTTACCTCTTCTCAACTCACTCAACTAAACTCAACTCATGAATTA